TACCTGCCGTCCCTGAGCGCGGCCATCGGGGGCGCGACGCCGGAGCGCTACGTCTGGCGGCTCTGCATCGCGCTGCACTCGGCGCCGCGGCTGCTGGTGGCCGCCGTCTACTGGCGCCACTACCGCGCGCGGCCCTGCCCGCCCCCGCACCCGCGCCGCCCGCGCCTCTGCCACGCCGCGCTGGCGCTCAACCTGCTGGAGGTCCTGGCGCTGCTGCTGCTCACCTACGTCTCCTCCTCCGAGAACAAAGGTAGGCCGGGCGGGGTGGGCCGCGGGTGAGCGCCGCGCCGCGCCTCACGGGCCTCCTCTCTGCCCGCCGCAGCCCTGCACCAGAACGCCTTCGTGCTCTTCGTCGCCTCCGCCCTGGGCCACATGTTCCTGACCTGCCTGCTCTGGCGGCTGACCGGGAAGCACGCCGCCGCCAGCCCCGAGGTAGGCCCCGCTGGGGACGCAAGGCTCGCCTGGGGAGAGAGTCCCGCGCCCTCAGCTCTTAGCAACCGCATCAACAGGCCTTCTCTGCGGTGCTCTGTGCCCGGCCTGCTCCTTCAGGTCTTCCACCGGCGCCCCCGACCCTCCTGTGGCCGAGTCCGTCCCCCTTGCTGCCGATCCTCCTCCTCCTCCTCTCCTTCCTTCCTTCCACCTTCCCCGGCATCAGAGCCTCCTCCAGAGAGCTGGGTCTGAAGCAGGATAATTTGAGCCTGGTCATTTGTGCCTCGTCTGATGATCCGTCAGTTGGTTTTCTTGGCTGCCCGTGGTCTTCTCCAACCCCAAAGTTCAAAGGCGTCAATACACTTCCTGTCTTCCTTCTTCAGAGTCCAACTTTCACTTCCATAAAGTGTCACAGGGAATACCATGGCTTGTACGATTCTGATCTTTGGAGATATACTGTACATACATCCTGGCATCTGAATATCTTTTCCAAGGCCGTCATGGCTGCTCTACCAAGTTCTCGTCAGCGACATATTCCTTTACTGTTGATGGTTGATCCTAAAAGGCAGGAGCTCTCCACCACTTCAATATCTTCACTGTCAGTTCTAAGGCTGGTTGTTTTACCTATCTGTGTTTACATTCATTGAAGAGGAAGGGGTTACAAAGAAGTAAACAGGCACACAAGGGGGAATACAGCTGAGGAGGAATGTGCTAGAGCAGCTATGCTGGCTGGGGATTCTGAGCACTGAAGTCCACCCATCTTAAAGTGGCCAAGTTTGAAAAACACTGTGCTAGAGTCTTCAGTGTGGAACTGATTAAGATCTTGTCGATTTCAGGCAGCAGCTGGAGCAAAGGTAATCAAGGTCACTGAGCTTATTAAGTTGCAATTAACACTTATTAGGGAAGAAAAGTCGCTCAGGAAGAGACAACTCAAAAAGCCAGACAATATTGGATTCTAAGGCTATGCCTGCCGGATGAAGGACACGAGAACAGAAAGGAGGGCGTGTCCTTTTGCCCGGCGTGTGGTAACCTTACTACAGATAGAAGCCACGTAATCAGGTCCCGGCTAAGCAAAATCTTGGGCCTTGCCTCGGTTTTCATTCTGACCTTGTTATGGCTATCAAACTATGCATTCTTCTGTGAGGAGGTGTTTGCAATAACGCCTAGTCTGGTGAAACAGGTTTTATCCAGAAGCATTTGTTTGCAGAAAGCTGCTGGAAATGGGTGAGTGTGGAAGACCTCTGAGGGCAATGTCCTTGAGGCACTTGCTGGTTCCTGGGCGCCGTGGGTGAGTTTTGTGTGGGGCCTCGCAGTCTCCATATTTCCTCCCAAGTGGAAGGGTGTGGTGTTTGTCCTTCGAAGAAATGGGGCTGAGTGCAAGCGGCTGCTCCCCCCTTGTGCTGAAGGGAGCTCCTTCAAATGCGCCATCAGCCATGCTCCTGCTGTCCGCAGCACCTTCAGCAGACCAGGAACTGGGGCTGCCCGAAAGCAAGAGCCAAGGGGGGGAGTTGTGTTCAAGGCTCCCTTTCAGAAGGCTGAGGATGTGTTTTGGACACAAGGTTGGGGTGTCGGTTTAGTTGCCTGATGTGGAAGGGAGGAGGTGTGAATCTCTAGGGAGCGTTGGCATTTCTGGTTTGCTTTGGAAATATTACTCGGTTTTGTTGCTGGCGTGTTCTTTTGACCAGTGTCTGCCGTGTAAAAGAGGAAACGCTTGAGTCCTCCCCGCTCTTCCTGCTCGCCCACCTGTGTCTGGGGGCTCTGCACGGGCTCTGGAGGGAGCATGGAGAGTCTGGCTTTTCTGGGCTGCCCCCTTGCTGGCTGTCGGGCCTTCCTAGTGGGAGAGCAAGGCTGGTGCTGGGTTGGGGATGGGCCGCCAGGGGGCAGTGTCTGTTTTCCTCCCCTGGGCTGGTTCCTGCTGGACTTGGGGCTCCTGGAGCCTGCTCTAGTTTTACTGGGCATCGAGGAGAGCTTTGTTGAGGGAGAGGGACGGGGGTGTAGGTGCCCCAGAAACCTAACCTGGGACTGCGGAAAAGCCCTCTCCCCGAATCCCAGCCCTATGAGTGGTCCGGGGGGGGGGTGCATAGGTGAAGTACCCTCTCCAGCTTCACAGCAAGCAACCATCTTGGTTCACAGCAGCCCAGCCTGTCTGCAGGAGGGAAAATACATAGTTCTCCTCTGAAGAAGTCTGGCTGCGGAGCAGGAGGTTGATCTGTCCTTGTGGCTTAATCCCAGAAATGTCTGGCTAGTTGCTGCTGTCAGCCCTTCAAGGCAGACCAGGAAGCAGCCTTGATTGAAAGAGGCCGTAATAACAGAATCCTGCAAGCCTGACTGCTTTTCCCTCTTGAACCCCAGTGAGCAGGGGAGGCATTATTGTGGTTCTCTGGGCGTCACGGTTTCTGAATATTTGCTTCAAGGCCATCTCTCTGGCTCTCTCCAACCGCTGAGTGACGATGCCGAATTTCATGGGATCCACCAGGAATCCTCTCAGGCATCTTTCTTAGGCCTTCTTACCCTTTGGCCGTGGTTGTGGCGGAGGGTGGCATGCCGCGGGTTAGGTGGCTGAGGGCCAGGAGGGGCACCCCGGACAACTCTGAAACAACGGCTGTGCAGAGGATGTGGGGAGCAAAGGAATGGTTACAGGCGGGGGGGGGGGGGGAATTCTTCTTGTATGGGCGCAGGGCGGGGGGGGGCGCATGTCATGAATGAGCCAGAGGAGTGGTTAGTCTAAGGTTAAGGCTAGATACCCCCGGTTAAGGACACGAGGAGGATTTTCACACAGCCTGTCCAAGGGCTACCACTTACCGTCTGCCACTTCCTGTGTGAATTTTCACATTGCGCTTGTTTGCGGTCCTTAGCTGGGGCTTGAAGGGTGGGGTTCTCGCCGTGGCAGCCCTGAGCCCCACCCACTTCGAAGTCTGGGGCCCGATCCTGTGGATCAATGACCAGCAGAAGAGAGAGCAAAGAGACTGGGGAGGGGAGAAAGGGAGAAATGGTTCCTTCAGAAATTCAGCCTCAGCTGATACAGGCATGTCCATGCAGTTGCCAGAAGTCGAGGAGGCATTATTTCTGCTCAGCTGAAAATGGACAGAGGAAGGATTCGCACGGTTGCTCTATTTGCATGAATGAATCTATGTCAGTTTGCAATCAAGAGTCTGGTAACACCTCTTCCGATTCACACATTTTATTCAGCTGCAGCTCACCATAGACTAACCCGGTTCTTCTCCTACTTTGTTTGCTTTAGTTTTTCTTTAAACAAATTTTTTTCTGCAATGCCATTTGAGGAGTGGTTTGATCAGAGACTCTGGGATGGGTTCTCCTCTGTTATACTTTTGCCCGCCCTGCTTTGCCTAGCTTATACACCATGTTTTTGCTATTCTTTCAAAGTCTGGTATTTTGCTTGAGAAAAGTTCTTGTCAAAAAGAGGAGGAAGCTGTTTTTGTGTCCTACATAGACTTTGGTTTGGAGCACCGGCTCTTTGGGGCCTAGTGGGGCGGAGCTTTCTGAAGATGAATTATCATCTAGCGGGGAGTTTTCTATCTCTCGGTCACATCCATGGTGCAGTTCCTCTTGCAAACCTTTCTCAAAGTAGAAACAAGACCGTATCCTGTTGTAGTCTGTGTGTGTGATGCTACCAGTAGCTGCTTCTCAGGGTCAGTTTCTTCTCTGATTGTCCCCCCTTCCATCACCACTCCGTGTTAAATCCTTTGCAGCGCTATCCTTGTTGCACTTGTTTTCCTCAAATAAGCGGAGTCAGGAAGCTAACAAAAGGCTGATTTCTACTTCTGTTTTTAAAGCAACCGTAGTCAGAATTTGCTCTCCTGCTTCGGTAGGACTTGAGTTAAGCTTGGCCATCCTATTTCATAGGCTGGTGGAGGGTGGTTTAGGTGGAGATGTTCTTCAAATGCTTTGGTCTAGGAGCTGAGGTTACAGTATAGGCGCAGAGGTTGGGTGAGGCTGAAGATCTTTCTAGTCCTGCATTCAGTGGTCCACCAGATGCATCTGCAAAGCTGACAAAGGACAGGGGAGAGCTGTACAGAACCTGTTTTTTTTAGGAATGGAGCTTCTGGAACATTTTATTTCTCCTGTATATTATTCTGGGGAATGGTTCAGCAGTTCTCCATGGAGTGTCCAGATCAGCCTGTCCAGGGAAGAAACAGAATGGCTTCCTGTTTGGAAGATTAATTTTTGGAAATCTGCGTGGAACGGGCAGAACAGAATGGTCTGGAGGAGAGGTGGAATGTTCTCCGGAACTTCCCATTCCTGAAACTATGGGTTTTGCCCAACCTCAATAATAATCCTCTTCCACTGTTGCTGCCCAGCCTGATCCTCCTGAACTTCTCTAGCCATCTCCTGAAACCCTCTGAATTACATACATTTTGTAATGAAGTAGGATGTCTTTGATTTCTGTTACTACATGAAGAGGAAAATGTATCTCGACATTTCCTATCCCAATTTCCAGTGGTTTTTTAAGTTGATTATGTGCCATCAAGTCATTGTTGACTCTTAGCAACCATGTAAGTAGATTTTCTCCATGATGAACTTTTCAGTGGACCCCTGAAAAAAGGCACGGCTCCTTTAATGAGGGGTGTTGCTTGTGCTCCCCCCCTTTTGACTCCTTTTACGTGCCTCCAGCTCAGATGGTTCTCCTGCCCCCCTTCCCCACGAGCTCAGACACCCCTGTTGCTTTACGTTGCTGTTTTAGCCTTTGCTGCTCTTTTCCAGCTCTGTGGTGTCCTTTTGAGGGTGCAGAGGCGGTACTCCAGAGGTGGCCTTACAGAGGACAGAATGTGGCAGCTGCCACCAGGGCCACAAGTTCCCTGTCTTAGTCTTGTTGTGAGCTCGTTACAGTGAAGGGCATTTGTCATTTGAACTCCCATTTATCCCCCTTGGAGAGATCCTGGAAAAGCCCTCCTTGGCTCACGGAGCTCCAGATTGTTTATCAACAGGCCGGCAAATGTCTGTGGGCCTGCTGAAGGATCCTTGCATGGAGAGAAGCTGTTCTCTGTGAGTGACTGCTGGTTGTTGGGGGAAGTCTTCTGCTTCTCCCCACTGGCATGGGCTCTCCTTTGGATAACTGTACCCAGGCGCTCCTGGCTGCCAGCTGCCAAGCATGCACTGGCATCTTTGGTGGGTTTGGGGGCTGCTCCCTTCCATCTCAGTGTTTAGGAGAGGGCTTGGATTGCACTCCACGGTGCAACTGGGTGCTCTGGTTAGCCATCTGCTGGCCAAAGGGAGCAAAACCCTGGCCCTCGGCTGTGGCTTCTCCCATTGCAGGGCTGCCCCTTAGTAGATGGTACCCAAGGGCAGAAGCTTGCTGCCCCGTCTGGTAAAGGGTACTTGCCGTGGCAGATGCGGTGGCTTGAGTCAAAGATTGTCAGTGCATTGGTGGCCGCTCTTGGCTCTGGAATGGCCAGTCTTGTTTTGATGCCAGTCGAGGCTTGTCAGATTTGTCTGTCTGCAGGGATGAAGAATGTCGCTTCTCTATAATCTTTCCTCTAGCCTTTTGTTCATTTTCCAGCTCTGTTGCCTCCTTTTTCAGGTGTTACAAGAATGGCTGTATTACAGATCGATGAGAAGGTGTTATGATCCTGTTGTTGTTGATGATGATATTATTGTTATTGACCCAAAGCATGGGATTCTTCCTTTTTCGCAGTACTGATGTGTTTTTTGACATTTCCATTGCATTGTGACATGGTATCACCTGGCTACTGCCTTCCTGGTTGTGCTTGTGTCCTGAGGGTGGCCAGTTTTGGGAGGGGGGCAAGGAGGCATTCAGGATTGCTTTTTCCCACCTCAGTAGAAATTCTCTGTGGGTTTAGAGCTGCCTCTCCTGTCTGGTATGGGGACTTCCAGGGGAAACAGGAGGTTCCCTCTAGGACTCAGACTTTTGGAGGGAGACAATGGGTGCTTTGTCTGGTTACAATGGCCTTCTCTCTGGATGTCCCGGGGTGGGCTGGGACAATGAAGGAGGTCGCAGGGGATTCTCACAGGGGGCTTTGTTGGGCTTTGGCTTGGCTGAAGCAGGGCGGGGGGCTGGAGAGGGGCTGAGGGCCTTGGGCTGGGATCCAGGACGCAGAGTCAGTGGGGAGGTCACCTGCGTTTCTCTCCACAGGAGCGCACGTCCTACAAGTGGAAGTGGTGGCTCTTCCTCTTCAACCTGTTCACCTTCTTGGTGGCCGTGTGCTTTTACTTCCGTCACAACTGGTATTGTGAGGCTGGAGGTAAGGCAGCTGGGCCCTTTTCTGTTACTGGTATGGAGACAATAATTATGGTGATCTGAAACTCGGTTCGAGTGATGTTTTGGTTTCATCTCCCAAGCACAATTTCCCGCAACCTCGTAGAGTGAGGAGGCACCGTTTTTTGTGCCAGTTCAGGAGTCCTGGGCTTCCATGCCCTTCTTCAGCCTCAGGTTCTCTAGATGGGAGGGTGCGCGTTTCCTGGGCCCCCTGCTGTCCCTTCCAAATGTAATTGTAATTGTAATTCATTTATCACAACCGTAGCAAAAAGTATAACAAAATAAAGAAAATGATGCAGTGATTGCAAAATTACTCCAAGAAAATCAATCTAAGCCTCCCTCCTTTTCCCGGGACCCAGGGCACCCCTGGGCAGAGACGCAGGGCTTTGCCTGGTGAAAGGCTGGAGGCCCGAGTTCTGCCCGGGTTCCTTACCCAGTCTGTGGGATCCAGCAGGCCAGAGCGACGAGAGCGGTGTTGACTCAGAGCTCCCTGAGTTCCTGAGCGCGTCCGTCGGTGGGGCGCTCTGCACAGCCGCAGCCCTCTCCCGGTTCCTCCGTTTGGTCACCGTCCTGGGTGGCGGAGAGGGCCGGGGTGGAGCCCGGGCAGCTGGAGAGCAGCTGTGGAGAAGGGGAGGAGGAGGTGGATCCTGCTTCTGGGGGGAGTTCTCATTCAACCCAGGAGTGGGAGGGGGTCTCCTGGCTGCAGAGCGATGATCCACGGAGCGGCCTCCTTCCACGCTTCTCTGTCTGCTTTCTGTTCCAGTGTACACGGTCTTTGCCTTCCTTGAGTACCTGGTGGTCCTGTCCAACATGGCCTTCCACATGACAGCCTGGTGGGACTTTGGGAACAAGGAGCTGGTGGTCAGCTCCCAGCCGGAGGACAAGTACTTCTAGCAGAGACCTCCCGGGCCGGCTGGAGGAGCCCCGCTGGCTGCCCGCGGGGGGGCGTTTTGGTGGGGGCTGGATTGCCGCCCGCGGGCGG